TCGTCATCCAAATGTAACTGTTCCACCAAAATTAAAAATAGTCTTCTACTATACTATTCTACTATGTACATGAATATTGTAATATAAAATAATAAAAATATAGATCCTGAATATTAAATAATATATAATGTTAAAAACAGAAATGTGATAATAAATATAGTAATAAATGATATAGAAAATAAGGATAATTATAAAATAAATAAAATCATAACAAAATGTAATATTCCATAACTAGGGAAAAATTAAGGAATTAAGGAATTTTATGTCATTACGGTAATAATATATTTAATAATTAACTTTTATAAGCTAGTAATAATATAATATTATTATAAAGTAAAATTAAAGATTTAATATCTTAAAAATACTATTCTAAAGATTTTTTTATATTACTAGAAATTATATTATAATATAATATCAGATTTTACAAATTTTTTATTTAATAAAATATCTTTATACTATAAAAATTTTATTATTATTCTGATAATATATTAGTAATAATATATATATATATAATTCTTTAACTAATAATAAATAGTATATAATTATTAATATTTACAAATACTTTTTCAGTACTGAATAAGATATAAAATAATAAAAATTTCTTACATTATACAAGTAAGTTATTATAATACTTGGAATTAATAAAATAATAGCCAGTCAAATATTATCTAATTAGATTTGCAGAAATGACAATAAATTTATATTTTATAAAATCATGAATTAATTAACTATGAAACTAAGTACTAATATTATTAAAATTATATAAAATCTGATTAAGACTACTAATCTTAGTGATACTTTATTTTTAATATTAATACTATATCAAAAATTTAATAAATATGATATATTAATCAAAAAATAATTACTATATATACTATACTTATTAATTTCTATTATAATTATAATAAATACTAAAATATTCTTCATAATTTATAAAATAAATAGAACTTATTTATAAGAAAAGAAATGAATATAAATAAATTATAATAATATTTATAAATAAATTATATATAATTTAACAAAATTAATTAACTTATTTATATTTTCAGAAGATAATTAATTATAATTGAATAATTAATAATAATATAAATAATAATATAAATATAATAGAAGAAGAATAAATAAAATTATAAAAAAATATTAAAAAGAAATCTAATAAAAATATTAATTATTTAAATTAATAATAAGATTATATATAATAATTATTTATATAATAATATATTAAATCTAATATATTAAATACATATATAAATAATTATTTATATATTCAGAATAAATTGATCTTATAAAAAGTAATACAGAAACTAATCTATTATATAAATAGTATAAAATAAAAATCTAAACTTAAAGAAAGATAATCTAATTAAAATTATTACATATTTCTCTACTTAAAATATAATATTTTTATTATATTTAAGTATGTGATTTCTCAAAGTATAAATCTTTTCTATAGTATTTTTCAAGTTATATTATAGAAAGAATAGCTAAGCTATTTAACAAAATATTAAAGTTTTTAATAATAAATTCTTTTGTCAAGAATATTTTCAACTTTATATTCTTTATTATCTGAAATAATAATAACTAATAATAATTAATATTTATTATACTTATCATCTGGATTATACTTTTTTAATAAAGAAATATAAAATGTCAGATATAATTTCATATTTAATAGTAGTTACAATTCATAAGTAATAGAAACTATTATTATAAAAAATAAGATTTTTTAATAATTTTTTAAATATATTTAGAATAAGATATTAGTATTTTGATTTTTTTTCAGATTAATAAGTAATAATAAGAATATATTTTATAAAAAATAGTAATTTATTTATTTATTTTGATAAAATAACTTTATTAATTCTTGAATAACTATTTGAATATTATAATTAGTTATTATTTAAAATATTATTTTAAATAAATAATAGTAAACTTATCTAATAGTTTATACTATTGCTAGTATTTTTTTTTAAAAACTTATATTTTTATTTATTTAATTTTAAGATAATACTTATATAAGTAATTTTTTATTTTCTTTCTAATTTATCTTTTTAAAATAATATAACTTTAAGTTTAGAATAAGAAATATTAGTATAAAGATAGAAATTCTTAATAAAATTAAAATAAATTAGGATAAGTATAATTGTAAGTTTTTATTTAATTTGTTAAAAAGCTTCTTTTTGATTTATTATTTAAATGAATATTTTTTTATTTTGAAGTAATTTAATTAATAATATTGCAATTTAAGAGAATTCTTTTATAAATTTGCTATAATATTCAATAAGTTCAAGAAAAGATCTTAATAGTTTTTAATTAAGAAAAGTCTTTTATTTTTTGAATAATTAAGAGATCAAACAAAATTTCTTCTTTAATAATTATATGTTCAAGAAATAATAGCTCTCTTTTGCAAAAGTTATAGTTTTCAAAATTAAGTTTCAAATTAATATTTTGAATTTTACAAAATATTTTGCTAAGATAACTTAAGTATTTTTTAAAGATTTTTGAGAATATATTTAAGTTATTAATATATATATTAATAAACTTCTAATTATAATTTCCAAGTATTATATTTATTATATATTGAAAAGTTATTGAAATATTATATGATCTAAAGAATATAATATTGAATTCAAAAGGTTCTTTTCTAGAGGTGAAAGCAACTTAGCTTTATCTTTTTCTTTTATTTTTAAAAATTAATAATTATTTTCAAGAGAATTCATCATCTTATCAATTCAAGACAGTAAATATATATTTTTTTTTAGTAATTACATTTAATTTTTTATAATCTATACAGAATCTTTTCTTTTTATTTTTCTTAAAAACTGTAATAATTAGTAAGATCCAAGAACTAGTAAAGAATTAAATAATATTTGCATCTAACTTTTGTAAATTTTTTCAGAAATGAATTATTTATTGATTAGGTAAAATTACTTTATAAGCTCATTATTTAATTAGTGATTAATTTTCAGTATTTATTTCATATTTCTAACAGGATTAATTATTAATAATTTACTGAATAAATTATAAGATTTGTTAAATTTTTTTTATAGGAGCAATTTTGCAAATAGAAGATATATAAGACTAATTTAGATTCAATTCAGTTGATACTATTACAATCTCTTAGTGAATTACTTAACTAACTTATATTTAGAATTGAATATATTTATTATTTATTCAAAATAATTAATTAATAAAATATGAGATTTTTCAATTTTATTTCGTTATTTTACTCATTATACATCTTTTACATCTATCTTAAAAAGTATAACTTGAAATTCCAAATCTAAACTCTACCTTTTTCTCATGACAAATTATCTTTATAAGTAATTTATCTCTTTACTTCTTTTTCTATTTATTATCACTTCATCTATTATCTATCAATTATGACTCATTTATAATACTTTCTATAACTCACACTATCATCATAGTTTCTATAGTTTCTGCTTCACGATCTCAGATTCCGAAGTCTGATCATAATTTCATAGAATGTCACTTTTAGTTATCCAAACCATTAATATAAATTTCATTGAGAGATCACAGTGATAGTAATTTCAACAGGTTCATTCTAATACTTCTTTAGTCTACCATCATGAGCTTCATGTCAAAGGATTCGGTCCTCCAGTATCCTTAATTTATATGCGCCTTTATCCAATATATGGTGAATATAAAATGAACCAGTCCAATGGATCTTAAACTTCATATTATACTAATTGTCAAGTTAAGTTCTGTGCAAAAGAACCTTATCACCAGCCTGGAATATCTGTGAATAGTGAGAGATTTTACTTGTTTTTCTTTGCCTTGTCCTTGCTAATGTTCTTGTTTCTTCTAGTCCTTCCATCATCTTATAAGATTGGCAAAACAGATAGTCTATATTGTAATTTTTGGTTAATAATACTAAATTGATGTCGAGTTCAAAGTTAAAATCCATAGGTATAGCAGCAGTCTGATTGTAAATCAATTAATAAGGAGGAAACTTCGTGATGTTATATGCCATCATCCTAACCTATAGACGTACAGAATTAGTGCAAATTTTTCGTCCCAGTCACTTCGGTCCTTATTTATAAATTTTGCCAGCGTGTTACAGAGAATTTCATTGGATTTTTTTACTAAAACTGATAAGGAAATGAGAGCTTCTGTTTTATTTATACTAGTCATAATTATCTTGATTATCTCATTCAAAAAGGTGGTTCTCCTGTCCAAAATGATTTCTCTTGAAAACCATAGGAAATTGGCCGATGTGTTTGGGATAGCTTTCACTTTGGGCCTCTTAAGTTATGCGAAATGACCTGTCATTTTTACACTTTCCTCTGATTTTACTAGAATAGAAGAATTTAGGTGTAAACAAGGGTTGAAAGCTAGACTGAATGATTTACAGGTATAATGTTTCTTTAAGTATCCAAAAGGTCTCCTGCGCCAATCTTTACAAAGACTGGTTTAACACAATATTAAATTAACTCAAAGAACTTATTGTAATTGCTTCAAAATAATCAAAGATGAGGTCTTCTACTACTTGTACAAAGGTTCGAAGTAGTACTTAATAAGAATTCCTGAAAAGAAAATCAGCTTTTTTTTCTTTGGCATTTCGACGTTCCCTTGCAATCAATTCAGGTGCCGTAGTCCAAAGAGTACTGATTGAATTTTTTCTATTATGATCATTATTTAATTTATTATCATCGTTTACAATGTCATTCTTTTGATCTGTATTAATACCGCCTATTATCGATGGCTTTTTGTTGAGGTCGCAATGAGCCGTCGAACCTTGATTTCTCGGCGGAATCGAATTCCCGGAAGTACAATGTGCATTATAAGTCGGTATTATGCTTCCAGTGATAACAGCAGTTGAAGACTTAAAAAATTCCAGGATCGAGAGTCCAAATTCCGTCATAACAGAAACCGTCAACGCGGAGCCAAACAATTCCGCGAACTCGACTGGCGCTATTTGATTTGGATTAAAAATATTATTACCTCTCGCGCGCTTTGGAAAAGCTATTGGTTCTTTGGGCAATAGATCTTGAAGTATTTGAAGCTTTTGATAGGCCGCTCTCTATCTCTCTCTGGCGACGAAGACATTGTTGTTTGTATGATACACGTGCTCGTAAGGTAAAACTTTCGGTAGATGTTCATCGCTAGCAAGATGCTCAGATCCAATGTGAAGAGGATTGTTTGGTAAGTGCGATAACGTAAAATGCTGTTATTTGAAGCTTCGGGTGCATGAATATTTTTCAATATGCTAAATAGTTTAATCTAGAATATTCCCTCAGACAAAATATAGTAAAAATACGCTAATCCATCTCGTATTTGGTAGATTACATATTCCTTTTGACAAATTCCTGTATATGCTCCTCCACATACAAAAATGCTATAAAGATTAATAATCACAATCGCAAGTAATTCTACCACACGAGCAATAATTATAAAGAGGCGTATATGTCTGTGTTTTCGATAAGGTTCGTAAACAGCTCTACACCGTAAATATCTAATCATAAAGGCAAAATGGATCAGAAAAACAAAAAACCTCAATGAAATACAGTCACTAAAAAAAAATACTCACGCCAGGTATAAAACTATTGGCTTAGTAATTAAATAAGTGGCATTATTTACATAATCTCCAATTATTACTCAATGAATCCGCTCTAGAGAAATTCATCACCATCATAGCAAACTCATTCAGAAGCGTCGAAAAATTGACAATCGGGAAAAGAAACCTTTTCGAGCCATTTGTTCGTAGTGCTGCCGTTTTTAATGAGGAGTTACCAGTCAATGTGAGGCTCGCACCAACTAGAACTGCGCCAATGAAATTTTCGAGATTATCACCATTATTCGAATTTAAGCCTCTATCGGTCATTTTGCTTTTTCGTGATTATAGAGTTTCCTACGGGAATAAATATAAATATCCGTGCGCGCGTGTGAATACATATAATGGATATGGATATATATGTTTGCGATTGTCCTTATTCTGGGGAAGTTTTTGCTTTGGTTATTGTATGTGAATTTGGTAAGCAGGATGAATTTAGAGCCTCAAATTCTTTATTTTTTTTGGAATAAAAAAACACGAAGGATGATGTGAAAAATGAGGGTGCCGCGAATCAATAAGGAAGAAGCAAGAAAGGTAATATAAAACGAGCCTATTTATAAATTACGTGTAAATGTGAGAGTATATTTTTTCCTCTCTCACATCTTCATGAATTCATAAATTCATAAAGAATGCAAACTCAAATATAGCAATCATGACTCATTATTATATATTTTTGATATTAAGCCATGCCCAGCCAATAGGAATTTTTTTGATTATCACAAAAAATAAACACAAGGTTTGTTATTCACCTTTCACCGCAACCAGAAAACATTTCTAGCTTTGCAGTTTTTACTCATTTATTCAAAGGAAGCTATTTACCTCTACTCAATAAGCTATTCATCAAAACTCTTGTCGAGTTTTTTTTCCTTTAAAAAACAAATCATTATAACTTTGAAAAAATGATTACAAGCACTAATCTCTACAACCTCGTAAAAAAAATAAAGGACGCAGGGATTCCTCAAAATGGTGTTTGTATTGTAGGCGCAGTGGCGGTTGCTACTTTAGCGTATGGATTAATTTGCCTACATAGACATTGTAAAAAAAACAAAGAAACAAAACATGAAGAGAATGAAAGAGACGAAGTTGACACAATGGAAAACAAAGATCCCAATTCAACTGTCGCTACTCTGAATAAATCTTTTCAGATAAATGAAAATATTATTCTTAATAAAGTATCAAATCACTTTAAAGATCCCAGAACAAGAGGCAACTATAACAAAAAATTGGTACAATATGTAAAATACGAGGATATCCAAGTTACATCCGAATGGACTGCCAATTCAACTTTGCGTTTACAACTGCAGTTCACTTTAGATGTCTCTAGAGGATTAATTTATTTAAAAATTGATGAAAGTTTATATCACGATATTCGCAGTCAAACAGTTGTACTCACAAAAGGCGGTCCAATATATATAACAAAAATTGATAGTTTCGTCTTAAGTCACTTTTTAGAAGATGCTATCAGAGATATCTGTTGTAATATTGATAACTTCCAATATATACCAGAGAACCTTAGGGATGACAAACATCAATATAATTATAAGCATGAAACATATAGGTAAATAATTCTATGAATTACCATCAGCAATAATTTATAGATTTATAGACTTTTTCTTATTAATTTTATTTTATAATATTCTGATACTTCTTTGTAAATTGTTGAACAAAGGAGCCTATTCCAGGAGAAAATAAATATTGAAGAAATTTGTAATACAGTTCTTGAAGATAAACGAGAACAATTTGCTTCGCTATTGCAAGCTCCCATTGGATGGATGGATATTATAAATAAAGGTAATTGAGATTATTAATATCATATTAATATATCAATTAATAAAATTAATTAATAATAAAAATCTATTCTGTTTAATGATGATAATTATGCAGATTTGGGCGATTACAATGCAAAATATTGGGTTGAATATTATGATTGCTTAAAAGATCAAGGAGCAGCCGATATGGATTTGCCTGAGGCTCAACTCAGTTATGGCCATTGGCTCTGTAAAGGCAAAAGAATCGAAAAAGATGACTTATTAATCATAAAATATTTTGGAAACTCAACCTCTATAAATAATATTGTATTCTTTTACGATGGAAAGGGAGGTGTTCAAACCGCAGAAAAAGGTTTTGAAAATGGATTCAGAGAAATGGATACGTTACCAGAATTTCAATCAATATCAAGAAATGAAGAATTGAGAATTAAATCCACGAAAACTATACGCAATATAAAGGAGCATAAAGATTTTAATCCAAACATATATCCAAAGGAAATTGATCTTGAAAATGATTTAGCTGGATTTAAAGAGGCGGATATGATTTTAATACCAGGATCTCAATCAACAGCTAGGGATGAGGAATTGGGAATTAATTCCACGAAAAAAATAGATCTCAATTCAACAAAATCTGAGAAAATTGGTCTTGGAAATGGATTAGGTGGATTTAACGTAATCGTAATAATCACCAAGCTATTTAAAAAGAAAAACTACAACGATACAATTGTACAAAATCGGGTCTCTGCAATTGCGAACCCATACAACAACACTCACCTGTATTATGATTAAAAAGAAAAGTTAGTCACATTATATTTAGGATTATAATATTTTAACATTTATTTTAATTTTTATTTTAACATTTATTTTAACATTTATCTTAAACATTTATCTTAACATTTATCCAAAAACAAAATCTGTATATAAAGACAAGCTTTGGCTTGATAAAAAGACAGGCGTGGAAATAATTAAAGAATTGCAACTAGTTTTTATGAATAATGACAACTAAAAAAAACTATGATCACTCAATATTCTTTCTTCATCTCTCGTTAGGGTGTTCGATGATCTAATAAAATCAAATCAAATCATAGTTTGGGCAATATATCTAATTTCCAATTGGCGGGATTTTGTTACGGATCTGCGGATTTTTTGCATTTTTTCACCATATGATACTGATTTCTCTACAGTTCTCTTTTGTATCGATTTTTTCTTTGTTTGGTTAGTTCCTCTCATGTTAAAACTGCGATCTTTGTATCATTTGACATATTTGTGTGACACTTGAGGTCATACTTGTTAAACAGTCCTTCGATCTGTTGTAGATGTACAACAATGTACCATATCCGGGATTTTACAAACTCATACTTGATTAGAAACTGATCCAGAGAGGAAAGAAGAAACTAAAAAAATAAAATGATCTTTTGTTTTCGGAGGAAAAATTGAATGAATTACAAGAATGTGGAGAAATAGTTGCAGAAACGATCGAGCCAGTTGCCAAAACGGCGGGGTCAAGTAAGGAAGTAGCGGGGTCAGTTTAAGCGAGGAACTAGTCGCCAAGCAAGGAATATTCATATACTTGTCTTTTCAAAGATTTTGCGAAATGGAGAAACTCGTCACAGAACTTGGAATCTTTAAGAGTAAGAGAAAGACCAAAGTCGTTGAATTCTGAGTTGTTGTCTATATCTTCCTGTAATTGTACTGCGTATCAAAGTGCTTTAAGGAACGGAACTTGAATCCAATCTTTTTTTAAAATAATTTTTATATAACTTAGAGCATAATCACTTCCATTATTGCTTCTAAACGGCATAAGCTGAGTGGTAAACGCATCCAATTTTCCATCCAAGTTTGAAATGAACTTAGTGCTTTTTCTACGCCATAGATTAAATTATTGACCAAAAGTGCAAATTCTTCATCTTCTAGAATGTTTGTTGTTGCCAATAATTCATTTCCAAAAAATGTATATATCATCAATAATAGCTTGCAGAGAACGAATCCATTGAAGAATTGCATCGGGTATCTCATGAGCACGTCGACCTGCAGGAAGTAATTTGAGCTCTCCACTATCACATAATATTCGAGGCTATAGATCTGATGCCACAAGAAAGTTCATAACGGGTTCATTAATTCTTTCACCAAATTTAACAAGACATTCAATTTGAATTTGAAGAATAGAATCCTCGAGCCAATCTTTCAAAAGTTTCCATTTGGTAATATATGGGTTTAGTATATTTTTTCTCATATGTAATTTGGTTAGAAACCAATTTGTAAATGTTTGAATTGACGCCTTTCTTCTATAAAAAACGTGTCCGAAGAGGTTTTTGAAATTTGGTAAATCGGATTTGGAATAACTCATAATAGAGGTTGGAAATATATTTACTTTTCATATTCATTGGATTGTCCTAATTGCTTTCGTTGTATCCGTCGTGGGGTTGTCAGACTAAATGTAAAAGATTGAATGGATATTTTTGATTTGAAAATCCTGTCTCCACTGTAAGCTTTCCAAATACTGCATTTTCAAAATGAGTCATCATCATAATATGTACAGATCTATAAAGAAGACGTTTGATTCTTCTGATTAAATAACGCTACAGCTCCATCTTGTTTGCCAGACATATAAGCAGTATTATCTGTCCTCCAGGCAAGACATAGTTGAGGATCAATGTTGTATTTCTTGCAAGTATTTGTAACACTAGTTGCTACAGATTCACCATTACACTCTTTGAGATCCTCTAAATCTAGTAAAACTATATTCGGACTGTTGGCAATATAGTTCCAGAACATGAAGCAAATAACGAAAATTTTTTGATCTCCTCGTGTAGATTCATCAGCTATAATTCCGTAAGCAAAGAATTTTGATTTTGTTGCTTCCAAACAGTTTTGATTTATGTGAATTGCTGCAACATCTTTGTGCCATTCAACTAAAGTACTTGTTGAAAACCATTTATCTGGCTCTTCACCAATTAACCAGTCAATTACTTTCTTGCTGCATTCAGCAACGGATCTATACGACATTGACCAATTTGACACAATTGTGTTGCCAACTGAACGGTTTCAATACTGTAAGTAGACTTTGTTGCAAGAAGTCATTTCCTAATTGCTGATTTTTGTTGATTACAGAAATTTTACGTGCCTTTATTCGTATATGGGATATATATCGTTTCTTGATTTGCCGAGCTTTACTTATTTTTCCATATAACGATTTGTTCTTATTCTTGAGAGTTTTTACTTTGCGTTCCAGAGATTGTATTGATTTTGAGCTATATTAGGATCGACTTTAAATTGGTAAAGATTTTTCTCAATGAAATCCCTTGCTTTTTTTTGTAGATAAATTGAAGATGTCCAATTTTTGTTATTGTTACCATCTACATATACAGTAAAGTAAACATGAAAAACAATGAAAAAACTACATGTACATGCCACTCAACATGACCAAATCTGCATGCTACGAATTCTGGATTTTATTTTCAAATAATTTTAAATATCGATCACATGCTAAATAATTTCTAATTAAGTTTTTAATTGGACTAATTTACCGACTTAATACCAAATTATAAGAAAATATGTTCATTATCCAGAATATATATATTTGGACTATTTTGTCTACCGCATATCTCCGAAATAAGCTTCTTTCAAAGAAACTATTCCTCATATTTGGATGTCATTTATATTTATGCAAAACTCTTTATAATAGTAAAACTGATACATGTATATGTATCGTTGAAAATCGATAATTTTGGCTAACATTAAGAAACATGCCACAAACATGCAAAATTTGATAAATTTCGGATAAATCATGTGATGCAATCAACTAACATAGTATTTGGTCAACATTAAAATCAAGTCATAATTAAAGCCGATTTTTTACCCAATTCTATAATTATATTTAAAAATTTAAATGCAAATAGCCCTTCCTAGTTTCCGCCTAACAAAATGTCTTGGGTGGCTAAGTAAAGTTGTTTGCCAGTGATGATTACTAATTTTGAGAAGTATTGAGTGAGTTTTCGCAAAATTATCGCCATTCTTCATTGTAACTTGACTTTTTGCTTTCTCCAGTTTTGTTGATGCCAGAAAATTTTATCGTATTATTAAAGAGCGATTTAGGAAGGTTTAAGGAGATTGGGGTGAGGTGAGCGCGCATTATAAGTTCTCCAAGTTAGGTTAAAACATCTGTTTTTATATTTATGGATTGTTCGGAAACATTATTGGTTACTAGCTTCATTAAATAATGTTTGTAGGCTACGCTGGTATTAAGAAATTAGATACTTATTTTTGGACCAGTTTTACTGAATCTAATTTGCTAGCTTGTAATCATGTCTTGGATTATACATAAAATCTTGTCTTCTCACCCAAAAATTTAAAATGGTTGTTTGTTTGCGTGCATACTTAATAATGATAACTCTACAGAATTTTACAGCTAATTTTGTACATGTATATTAAAATATATTATGGTTGAGCCAAGAAAAGTAAGTATTGACTTATGTAAGTTATGGTACATTCCAAAAACTCATTTATATCACAATGGTGAAAAAAGACTTTCATAAGAAATTTGGTATATAAATGACATCGAAATTTTATATATGGTTCGATCGTTATTGTTTGATAACATTTGATAAGTCTTCATGAACACTACAGCTTTATTAGAAAAATTAATGCTAACAAAAAACAGAACGAAATAAAAAAACATGGAGAACAACTAGTAACGAAGGATCGATAGAACAGAGCATCAATTAAACGGAAGTCGCACAAATATAATAAAATCGAAGTATTATTACGGTGGAACAAAAAAGAATTAATAAGATTCTAATTACGTGTTTTGATATTAAAAAAGAGGTTGAATAAATAAATAAGCATAAATCTGTCTGAATGAGTCGATTAAAGTTTACGGAAAAAATAATTGAAAGAAAAGTTATCAGAAACGAATTGCTGAAAAGAGCCTGTATATGAAGGCATTATACATTTAGTTTGGTGGAATAATCTCGGTGAATGAGATATGCTATCACTTCGCTAATTTCGGATATGTTAATTGAAATGGATTGTTGTATCGTTATCATAATTGTTGTAGCGATGAGGAATAATGTAAAATCTATATTAATATTAATAATGATGGTGTGGCTGGGAAGTTTGTTGAATTATGGTCAATCAATAATGCTGCATCGTTGTTGGTCGTACAAGGTAGAATAAGAGGAAAAATATCGATGATTGCCGGAATAATGTCATGGTGTTGGTGTGGTTGAAGGTTTTTTGAATTGGGAACTTTATTGTTAACACTTATTTTTCGATATCATTCATATCCTCAAATACATAACGAGATATGTTATTATCAATTTCATCATTGTTGAACAATAAAGAAGCTTTCTCGTTGGTCGTAAAAGGTTGGATTAGATAATTGACGTTGATGATAAGAGGAAGAGAACTTGTTAAATTAGAAATATTTCTATTTATAACGTTGATATCATTCATATACCCAACAACATCGTTGTTGGTCGTACAAGGTAAATTGATAGGAGGAAGAGTATCGATGGTTGTCGGAACGATGTCATGGTGATGAGGTGGTTGAAGGTTTATTAAATTGGGAATAGCTCTATTGATAACGCTAAAATTTCTGATAGCATTCATATTCTCAAATGCATAATGATGATAATTTAACATTATATTATTATCGATTTCATCTTGGCCAATCAATAAAGAAGTTTCCCCGTTGTTTGTAGAAAGATGAGTCAGAGAATTAACATTGACTATAGGAAGAATATCGTTGGTTGTTGAAATGATCTCTGAACAAATTGATGTTGTATCAACTTCGCCCGTGTCAAACATCAAAGAAGTATCGTCGTCGTTAATCGTAGAAAGTTGAGTTGGGGAATTAACATTCAGCATAGACGGAAGCGTATTGATACCACTGATAACTTGATTTGTTAATGAGGGTGATGATGACTTAATACCCATTGAATTAGGTTTAAATGACGAAGTATATGGAGTACATGGATACTTTTTTTGTTCGCGAAAAATCAATTTTTTGCTGTTTAAATTCTTTCGCATTCTAGGCTTATACTTATAATTAGGATATAGGCGTTTATGATTTTCACAAGCTATTTTCTCCAATATTGTGAAGAAGTATTTAACTTCACTTGACATCTGTTGCCACTTCAGGCTACACTCTTTAGCCGTACGTTTTACTTCTTGTTTAACGTCAGGAGCACGACGACGTAAATTTGCTTCATAATCTTTTCGGAAAAGAATCCAACTGTTTTGTGGTCTCGGTGGATTGTCAGAATTAGGGGGTTTTTTTGCTGGTTTTGTTAATTCGTCAATCGAAAGCGTTAATTGGTAAGAGCATTTTAGTAAAATCTGTATTTCATTAGCAGTTAAAATTTTGTAATTAGTATTGAAATTAGTCATTTTACCAAGTGCAAATTGAGAAAAGATTAAGGATTTATTTCGCCGTAATTAAAAGACTGATTTTATACATGTATCGAAATCGTGTACATGTATAGTATCGGAGTCGGGTACATTCGCCGTAATTAAAAGACTGATTTTATACATGTATCAGAAATCGTGTACATGACAATTCATGTACATGACAATTATTCAATTGTTAATGGAATCTGCATGTTTAAAAATCTGCATGCATGTTAGCGGGATCTGTATGTTTGAAATTGTCAACTTGTTAATGGAATCTGCATGTTTAAAATCTGCATGTATGTTAGTGGAGTGGAATCTGCTATTTCCAAACAAGAATTGGGAGTATATTGCAGAAAATTTAAATTTCACCAATTATTTTGTATCAAATGATATAATAGTATTTTCATGTGTAAAATTGAAACAAAAAGTGGTTACCGTAAAATATTCTCTGGGTAACTTAGATTCTACTCATAATTGGGGAATAACCTTACAAAAGTTCAGTCAGATATATCTATTTTATGTTGTACATTTTATAAATGATGGGAAGCATGAATGAATACAAAAGGGGGCGTGTTTATGCTTCCTTGTTCACATTTTAGCTTGTCTTAATAAAAAATAAAAATTGTGCACTGTATTGTTTACGTCTTTGAACTGTACTAGTAGAGTGTGACGACTAAACTTTTCTCGAATAATAATATTGACCAATTGTTGATAATACTAATTGGATCATATTATTATATCTTTTCCAATACAATTGAAAAAATTTTTAAGTAGATACGAAAATTCCACAAAAATAGAATTTCTCATTTTAAATTAATATAGGAACCCCATACCCCCAACAAAACTTATACATGCAAAAGAAGTTTGAAAGTCGCATATTGGGAGGATTTTTATACGCCATTACCAATAGCATTTCCCAAGAGATTACACAAAACATAAAATGTCATAGTCAATTTGACATACAAATTGAAATTAAAAGTATGACATATATGTTCAATTTTCGCAAAAAAAATAATCATTTGTACCATAAAACCGCGAAATGTTTGTACCTTAAAACCGCGAAATGTTTGTACCTTAAAACCGCGAAATGTTTGTATCATAAAACCGCGAGATGTTTGTATCATTAAACCGCGAAATGTTTGTATCATAAAACCGCGAGATGTTTGTATCATAAAACCGCGAAATGTTTGTACCATAAAACCGCGAAATGTTTGTACCATAAAACCGCGAAATGTTTGTATCATAAAACCGCGAAATGTTTGTATCATAAAACCGCGAAATGTTTGTATCATAAAACCGCGAAATGTTTGTACCATAAAACCGCGAAATGTTTGTAGCATAAAAACGCGAAATGTTTGTACCATAAAACCGCGAAATGTTTGTATCATAAAACCGCGCGAAATGTTTGTACCAAAAAAACCGCGAAATGTCAGTATCATAAAACCGCGCGAAATGTTATACATGCATGTATAGAGATGTGCCTATGCGCATAGTTACTAACCGATATCGTAAATGCCCATACACAATTATGCATATGGTTAAGTTCA